GACTCCTATTCAAACCTTTTTTTCTTCTATTTTTGTGGCCTGTACTTATGGTGATTATTGATACAAACGGTGATAAGGGGGACCCCTTCTGGTTGTAGCTAGTAACTCTTTTATCTATACTCCACAGGAAATTTAATTTATTCTCACTTTTGCAACTTGATGAGTATGTTAATTTTCGATATTGTGTCCAGAATCCCTCCCTTTTCCTATCACATATCAGATCATAAATGTGTTCAATGAAAATGAAAGAAATATTCAAAAATTGTAAATGAAGTGCCTCACGGGTATTTAATAACAAAGTTATCGGGTAGATGAAGGGAGGGCTTTATTGTCCCAATAAGGCAGCATCCATTTAATATTTTTTTATAAATATGATAACTTCAAAATGCTACAGTAAAAAAGTCTGGAATTTTGCATGGTGATAGTCGTGCCCTGGGAATAAGGCAGCAGTGACATTTTTAATGCACCCAAAAGACCCCTGAGATATAGTGCCTCCAACTGAGCCAACAATTAAATTTCTCCTGTAACTGTATTGTCATATTTGTCACATTCATGTGTCCATAATTTCAAAATTCTACAGTAAAAATGTCAGGAAATTTGAATAATGACAGTCAAGCACACTGAGTATAAGGCAAAAGGGAAACTTTTAACGCAATAAAGATCCCTGCGATATCGCACCTCTAATAGGGCCAATGATGTCATTTCTCCTGTAAATGTATTGTCACAGATATCAAATTCATGGGTCCATAATTTCAAAATGCCAGTAACAATGTCTGAAAATTTGAATAGAGATAGTCAAGCACACTGGGTATAAGTAACCAGTGAAACTTTTAACATCCCCAAATGTACCAACAATGTGATGGCTCTTCTAACTGTATTGTCAGATTGGGTCCATAACTTCAAAATAATATAGTCATCAACAATAGAATGACTCTTTCAATTCACTTGAGTTTAAATCGCATTCGTATATCGTAAATAAATATATTATATATTATATATATATATTATTAATAAATATATTATTAAATCGTATATCGCTTTTCACAATACATGTCATTTCAAAGCAGCTTTACAGAAAATGCATGCTTCATTGCTTCTAAGGTTACAAAACCAAAATAGTCTTTTATGAAATGATATCAGAAAGTACAGCTGTAAGGTAGGGCTGCACAATTAATCGAATTTCTAATCACGATTACAATTACGGATGCCACAATTAAATAATCATTTAAAGCGACAATTAATCGAAGTCCACTTATGTTATTCTGAGCGTTTTATTCTTCTTCTTTCTACAGGTTATCTTAAGGGTTTTTCCGTTGTTTTAATTTATATAATGCCATGCATATTTGAACTTTTTTTATTATTATTTAAAGAAGAAACCAATTCAATGTATAGTTGACATTTGAGGCTTAAAGGGGTCATATGATGCGATTTTAATTTTTCCTTTCTCTTTGGAGTGTTACAAGCTCTTGGTCATAGAGGAGAAACAATAATGTACAGTATGTGGAAAATAATGTGTTTTTTTTTACTTTAAACCGCATAAACACATTTCATTACATCAAACACACAAAATAATATTCTTTTTGCCAGCATCATTTGACCCCTCTAATACTATAGAACAGCAATAAAAGCTTTTCATTTTGAGTGTTTTCAGCTTGTTTATTTTTATATAAAAATATGGCATGTAGTTGCTTCAAACAATGGTATAAACATAATTCAATGTAAATTGTGATAATCCTAATTAATAATCGCAATTACAATTTCAAGGGAACAATCGACAATTATGATTTTTGTCAATCGTGCAGCCCTACTGTAAGGAACAAATTACAGTGCACTTTAAAACAATGATAACATGATAATTTTGTATAATCATCCATGTTTGGTGTTCTGGAGTCATTGCAGGGGTAGTTGTCATCCACTCAAAGGTGCTGGGTCATCTGAAGTCTTCATAAGAGGCTGGATCCAAGCTGTAGTCAAATCTATAGTTAGCATAGTAGCATAATCTATACCTTGGGACATTGCAATTTGTAATATTTTTTTGAATTATTATTATTATTATTATTATTATTATTAAATGAATGAATAAGATATAAATCACACGGTCCCTAAGTAGAACTGATGACATGTTCAATAATTAAAAATACTGTAATAGTATTTTATGTACCTTTATATTTTTACAGTCCACTTTCGCTGATATAGCAGTGTTATTTGCGTTTCAAAATAGTTTATTATGTTTTTATTCTGAAAATAGACACAAAAGCAACACAATCCCTTAAAAAGCATGAAAAAGAGAAAAACCCCACGGTCCCTAAATTGAGCAAGAAGCTAACTGATGCGGAAGCATCGCGTCTTTTAAAGGGATAGTTCACCCAAAAATGAAAATTCTGTCATCATTTACTCAGCCTCATGTCGTTCCAAACTAAGGTGGAACAGATTGCGTCAATAAGAAGCAGGATTCAGCCTCGTGCGCTCTCCCCTAACTGTGCTGAATAAAAAAAGGTATGGGAAACGAATTCCTGACGTCACAGCTTAATGTTCAAAATCTTTGTTTCAAATTTGTTTATGTGTAAAAACAATTTATGTGTGAATATTCCCAAACTCTCAGACAAACAATGTGATTGTTGTCATATATATATATATATATATATGTCAGTATTAAAGTGAAAATTAATGTAAAACACGCCTTTTGCACAGAATTAGTCTGGTTCATCATAATATATATATTCATTTAAAAGCTTAATATTTTTAGGTTTATATTTAATATTTTTTTAGATTTCATATAATAAAGCGCATGAGCGTGAATGATGCAATATCAGACTTTGATCTCTGGGGTGCTAATTCACTATATGAGAATTGAGAACTGCGCTTCTTGACTGCACTTATTTCCCTCCTCACATCACTGCAACTGCCAACTCTTGTCTACTTTTAAGACAAGTCAAGGCACATCTCAAACAAGCCTATTTTGATATATAGGCCTAGGCTACATCACACAGATGTTGAAAATCTTCTTCATTTTCACAAGAGATCTTTTTCACTTTTCATAACGTCCTGTCAGCAGAGTTTGTATGCTTCAGGAAACTTGTCTGTTGGATGCTTCAAGCGTGCTAAGCATTAACCAAAGTGTTGAACTTTAGCCAAAGTGAAAACATTCAGCTGACTGTAAAAGGCAATTCTGTTTCTGTCTGCAGTATTGTGGTTCATAACATGTTGTGGTAAACATGTTCATTTAAGCTTTGTGGGGATTGAGGCCAGAACAGTTAAGGCCAAGCATTGTGTATTTTTTACTTCCTGGAGATGTGACAATGGAGGAGATTTAAACCCTATCAAAATTTAGTAAAGTATATTCTATCTCCCCAGCTTACTGTAAGTAAGGGAAACTGATTGATCTTAGACTAGCAATACAAGAATACACACAAATACATTCACACTAACTTCATTGTTTATGATCTTACAGTGAACTAAACTATTAATCTTAAAAATAATATATAGGCCAATACTGAACACAGAACTGTTTGATGTGGTTTGGACTCTTCCATGCTATATTACTAGTCTGCTGATCTAGAAGCACAGTTTTGCACCTCCATTAGAGGGGGTTTTATTTCCTGAATAGTTTCGATAGAATTACTGCTGTCACAGGAAATGACAGAATTCACATCTCTATCTCTACCATAAGTATGTGTTTTTTTGTCTATTTATTGGAATAATTAAAAAAACTAAAACAAATAACATTTATGGCATGCATCTGTTCCACAAGGACAAGCAACAACAAAAAAAAGGAAGGAGAAACAGACGGACTCATAAACAGCCGACACCACCAAAATACACACATTCGCCCACACACAACGACAAACACCAACTGTGCTGTCAGAGTTTGTTCTGAAGACACTGGAGCTCGACGGAATAATATAACTGTCTTTATTTCATTAGCAGCAGACAGAATGGCCGTTCGTGAAGAGATTCCCCTGCTTCTGTTTGGTGTGTATTGTCTCCATTGTATACTGAATGTTGATTTTTAATTTATCAGTATAAATGAAAGTATCACTGATGTTGTTTTTCCTGCAGTTATTCTTACGGTCTTCTGCATCAGCTCAAAAGAAAAGCTAATAATGGTGCCTGAAAAAACTGAAGAAATTAATGAAGGATCATGTGTGACCATCCCCTGTGTTTACAAAAATCTAAAGGATGAAACATGTACACTGTTGTGGTTTAAAGATCCAAAATATGATGAAGTATCAAAAATGTTTATTGGGACTATTGTATACAGTAACACAGAAGAACGTCCCCAGTCACCAGCTTACTCCAGCAGAGTGGAATACATCACTAATGCAACATCACTGAAGCAGCGAAAACACCAGACTTACTACTGGATAAAATGTGATTTAAGAATCACCGATCTTCAAAAGACAGACAGTGGGAACTATGGGTTTAGAGTTATTAATTCAGAGAAGTTCACGAGTGAAACTCTGACTCTCACAGTTACAGGTGAGCAATGATTTATTGAATGGGATTCATTTGATGTTGTCTTGAAGGCTGTTTTCTTATAAAAATTCTGTCATCATTTATTCACCCTCATGTCGTTTCTTTCCTCCGTGGAAAATAAAACATATGTTTATCAGAAAGTTCATGCTATGTTTTTAAACCATGAAATAGAATGTGACCAAGGGCTCCAGAAATGTATAACAGCAAGTAATAAAATAGTTCATATGATGCGACACTATATTTGAAGTCTTCATTAAGAAGCTACTGGTTCTCATGTGTCTCATCAGAGCAGATTATAAGTGATTAATGTACACAAACCTATTGTATGACTTCAGAATATTGTGCATGAGTACTTGATTTATGTTTATGTTATATTTATATGTTCTACCGAGAAAAAAAACAAAACGTTTTGAACTTCATGAGCAAATTATTAATTAATTAATTTTTTATTAACTATAGCATTGATAATTATGGAAGCAAATTTCTGTTATGCACTGTAAAAAGTAATAACTGAATCTACTTAAGAAAAACATGTAAACATAACTGAATTTGACAAATTTGTTGATTTTACTTAATTAGACTCTTATGTGAACTTTCAGGTGGATGCAATCATTAAAGGGGTCATATGATGCTTTTTTAAAGATCATTATTTTGTGTATTTGGTGTAACAGAATATGTTGACATGGTTTAATGTTCAAAAAACACATTATTTTTCAAATACTGTACATTATTGTAGGTCCTCTATGCCCCGCCTCTCTCAAACGCTTCGTTTTCTACAAAGTCCCTCCTTCCCACAAGCGCAGTCTGCTCTGATTGGCCAGCTGACCCAGTGCATTGTGATTGGCCGAACACCACAAGCACTGATCGGAAATGTAACGCCCCTTACCATAATCGCGAGCTTCATCTTTCAAAATAAATGTAAAGACAGAGCCCGAAAAGGGAACAGAGCCACACAGTGATGAAGCTGGTCTCTCTCTCTCTCTCACACACGCACGCACACACGCACGCACGCACACACACACACACACACACACACTGCAACCTCTGGTCAGCGTTAAAGATCTCACAGAGGGAGACAAACTGGCACTCAAGTGTTTAGTCCAGAAAGGTAACCCAACAGTCTATACGTTTACATGGTACAAATATCCCCAAGTCCAGAGTGAAACCAGTGAGACATTCATCATCAGTAAAGTTACTGCAGAGGACAAAGGATCTTACCAGTGCCGGGCTGATAATGGAATAAAAACAGCTAAATCAGATGACCTCTGGATTTCTGTAATGCGTAAGTATTACATTATTTGTAGCACTTCATATTATTTATTTGTTCCTTCAACAAACAAATGTGTTAATTATTTGTTTGCTAAATATGATATAAAACTCTAAAAGTTAACCAAAGCTATGATAATAAAAGTTAGCATTACTCATTGTCATTTGGAAAGCTAAAATGCTTTAAATTTAAAACCATGTTAGAGGATGAATCTCTTCACATAAATACGTTACGTAATAAGTTACGTATTCTTACCAAAACCTGCATTAATATTTTATTATATTGTACTAAGTGTGATGCTCTTCTAAATGTTAGTTTTTCTGTTCTCACAGATTCACCAAGAAACATCAAAATAGAGGGAGTGACCTCTGTAAAAGTGGGCACTCCACTGACTTTGACGTGCTCTGCTGATAGTGACCCTCCACCACACATGTACACATGGAAGCACAAACCTGGACTGTCTTCTGTCCCATTATCAATGGAAACTGGACAGTTATACATTAAGAAAATGACCATTCAACATGCAGGGCAGTACACTTGTGATGTTACCAACACTATTGGCACAGGATCACACACCATTAAAGTTGATGTGCTTTGTAAGTCTGATTCGCTCTAAAATCTATATCTTAAAGCTGCAGTCCGTAACTTTTTTTGGTTCAAAATGATCCGAAATCAATATTTGAGCAAGTACATAACCAGCCAGTGCTCAACACTATCGCCTAACTTTAGCCCGATTCACAACGGTTAGCTTATAATAATGTTTTCTAATTTGAACATAAAGAAGTTGTCCCGGCTGGTAGGCTATCGCATGTAAGGATCCTGCAGGTGGCCGATCGTTTATAGCCTTTTCTCACAGCAGCCAGAAGAATTAAATGTATAATTTTGATGGCGGATTTTAATCCATAAAGGATTATGTGTTTATGAAACACGTGTGAATGAAATTAAATTATATTCCAGTTATAAATGTGCTTCTGATTACAGATATCCAGGGATTACAAAGATTTGTATTTTAAAGACAACCAGTTCGAAGGGAGCATAATTTGCTTTTTGGGTTAAAATAATTTCTTAATACGAAATTCGAAGAGTATGACAATTAGATTAGACAGAAAATTGAGATCTACACGCTAATACACACTATACTCAGTCACGCAATGCTGATGTTGTTAACATTAATTATTTGAGAATAAAGTATAACAATAATAATAATTTGAATGGTTTGATGTGATATGAGCTAACCGATCTTTAGATTTAATCACCATTGGTAGCGAGATTTATAGCATTACATAATGCTTTTTTCTCTCAGTTGGTCAGAACAAACGTGGCAGACTTGTTACTTTTTCAGATGACAATATACGGTGAAAATTCTTATTTGGGTCATATTCCAAGACGTAGGCTAGAATCTGTGATTGCGAAGTACAGTAAATATCCACACCGGTGTGGTGACTGACTGCCACACATACTCTTCAGAACATTAGATTCATCCGCGCTGCAGCCGTGCTGGAGCACAACCCACGTAAGCTAGATAATTCCGCTCACAGCTGCAAGTCCAGGTTTTCAAACAGAGATGCCGACAAAGAGGCAAAACTTACGGACTGCAGCTTTAAGTAATCAAAGTTAATGATTTTTAACGAATAGCCAAATCATTTTTGTCACTTTTTCTTTTGAACTCTGCAGATCCTCCATCTAATCTCAGTTTGATCACGAAGAAGGAAGTGAGAGAGTTTGAAGTGGTCTCCATTATCTGCACGGTTCAAAGCTGTCCTGACTCACACCTCACAGTGACAGGACCTCAGGGTGATCTGAAAGATATTCAGAACAATCGAAGGAACAGCACTGCATCTGCAAACATGTTGACTGTCTACATGAATGTCTCTGAGTCAGATGCAGGAATGTACACATGCAAAGCAAAAAATTCAGAGGGAGATCGAGAAACTAAACAAGAGCTAATTGTGTTGCGTAAGTAATCAATCAAAATTGAAATATGTAAAATTATTTCAAATATTTCAAGGACTTGAGATGCTTTAATTTACTTTAAAGTAACCAAACCAAAACTAAAAAAAACTCAAATAATTTGGATTTCATCTTCTTATGTATCATGTCTATGCAGATGCACTTAAAAATGTGAGTGTAAGTTCTAAAGGAGAACAAACATTTGGGAGTGAGCTGACCCTTACATGTGAGGCTCACTCCAAATCTGCTCCATCCTCATATGAGTGGAAGAAACGCTTTAATGGACAGTTAAAGACAGTTGGACATGAACAGATACTGCACTTCTATTTTCTGGAAATCACTGATTCTGGTCTGTACGTCTGTATTGCTCATAATTCCATTGGAAAAACAGAATCCCCATCTGTAGAGATCAAGGTCAAGTGTGAGTACTCTTTTCTACTAGTTACACACTTCAGCTTTTAGAGGCCAAAAATTTTCTTCATCTTTGAAATTGGACTTTACTGACAGATATGATATTGTCCAATGTTTTTTTGTTATCCTAAATAGTCTAAGTTTGTCATGATAGCTAAATTAATGATTTAATATTACATTGCTCAAATTTGTTGTTGGCCATGACATTCAGTTATAACAATAAATTGCATAATAATTTTTCACATATTAAATGTTAATTATGAATATTCATGTCCATTTGCCTGTTTTCTATAGATGCTCCAAACATAAATATAGTCCATAACATGACAATCTTTACTCAGTGGAACTGGAAGCTTCCAGTCTGTCTGGCCTGCAGTGCAGATGCGTATCCACCTGCCACTGACTACAAATGGTTCATACAGGGGGACAACACAAAAGTAGTGTCACAACAGCAGAACTTCACTGTTTGGCCTCAGAACCCAGGAATGTATTACTGTACAGCAGTCAACGCTATCGGAAAATCACGATCCGAGCACATCGTGTTATTTATCAGCAGTGAGTATGAAATGACATTTATCAAATAACTAAAATAATGAAATAACGCCATTTTATTTGCACATTTTATAAACCATATGCTGCATACAGTTTGGATCACTTGACTTGTATAGCTCCTTTTAATAATCTCATAGACTGCTAGATCGTTAATGATCATTTATTCAATTTTTAATCCCAACAATCACAGCCAAGGTCAGATAAAAAAATTAAGCAATCCTGTTTTCTAACCCTCTTAATATAGGCAACATTCTCATGCTCTATCACATCATCTTTCTCCTGCTGATTCTCACTGGTGCGGCCATCTTCCTGATACGCAGGTAAGGTCCTCTTTTATTTTTTTCTTTCAAAACATTACTTTTAAATACTCATACAAAATTTGCAAAGCGATTTTTGAGTTTAAGGAAACTTATTGGTCATATGCAGTAAGAATGCAACTAAGAACCACATCTGAGTGAAAGAAATTCATGACCTACTGTTATGAGGCGAACGAGACGCGAGACGTGTGGATCCATTTGCAAAGCTTTATTAGAAGACATGGTCAGAAACAGGCAGGGTCGAACACCAGCCAACAGATATGGCACAGGCAAGACACAAGAGTAATCCGTTAAACAGGCGTGCACTCTTAAAAATAAAGGTGCTTCACAATGCCATAGAAGAACCTTTTTGTCTAAATGGTTCCATAAAGAACCTTTAATATCTGAAGAGCCTTTCTGTTTCACAAAAGGTTCTTTGTGGCGAAATAAGGTTCTTCAGATTACAAAAAGGTAAGAAAGAGTTGGTTCTTTAAAGAACCTTTGACTGAATGGTTCTTTGTGGAACCAAAAATGGTTCTTCTATGGCATCGCTTGAAGAAGCTTTTGAAGCACATTTATTTTTAAGAGTGTGGGTCGATCGATGGCGAACGTAATCCAGAATGCTTGACAAGAGGGGTAATCCGAGGAACACGAGCAATAGTCCAGGCAAGGTGCAAACATAATCCAAAAGACAAGACGAAAGGGTAATCCAAAATACTCAGGCAAGAATCCGAACATGGGAAAGCAGGCAAGGCAAGGCAAGACTATGACAATGACAATGACAATGACTAGACTAGACTAGACTAGACTAGACAAGACTAGACAAGACTATGAAAACTAGAGCAGGCTCCGTAAAGTAGCTAGCTATCAGCTAGGGTAACGATATGCGCTTACAATACTCTGCAGTTTGAGAAGGATCTGAGTGAGTGTAATATAGTGTGTGTGTGATTGGTTACAGCTGTGTGCAATCAGTGCAATGGATGATGGGAAATGTAGTCCGTGGTGACGTGTAACAGTCTGTGTAGTGAGAGAGTCAATGTAATGGAAGAGCGATCTCTGGTGGCGATCGGACGGAAGTCCATGGACAGGATTCGTAACACCTACAGCTTGTGTCATTTATTACATGTATTGTTCCTGTGAAGCACCAGCTCTATTTGTTGATTTTAGTTTGTGGCTGTTATTATTTTCCTCTAAATACATTTTTAATTGATGTGTTTTTAATTTTTCAGGTTCATCATCAAGGCAAGATTTGATCAACAAAGTGAATCAGATCCTTTCTACCTTTTCCAGTTAATCCCATCTGAAACTACTTCTACTGTATGTTACTATGGAACTGTCAGCACAAATAGGTATTTTTCTTTATTCAATATGTAGCTATTTTCCCATGTAAGTGGTGATTTCTGAAATCTCAATATAGAAAAAAAATCACATTTTCAGGTGATATAAAATCACTAAGCACCCATCATCACACCTAAATAATCACAAAAGAACAGCTAAGATATTAAAGGGATCATTAACTGCATTTTTGTAACTGCTAGATTTTCCTGAGGTGCACTTACAATGTTAATATAATTTTTACATAAAAAATTGTCATAATTTAGAAATAAAAGGCCATTTCTACCCTGACTGATTTGAATGCTGTGGTGGAAGGGGCGTGTCTGCTGTGAGACTTCAATGGAAACGCCCATTGCTATGATTGGCTAATGTATTTGCATATGAAATAAGTATTACATGTGGAGCTCTCTCAAACACTTTTACTACATTTTTACTATTACAGCTGTATAGATTAACTAACCAAGGAGCGTGCTGATTATAGCATTATATTTAGATCTCCTCCCATCGCATGAAATGCAGTGACCTCATCATTTGCAACTTGAGTTTTGCACTTTCACTAATGCTTTCATCACAACTAACAGTGCTAACACAATGTAAATGAGAGATTCATTGTGCAGTGTAGACTGTGCCACTGAATATATACTCGCACTGTGTGATCGACAGCCTTAAGATTAGGCATTAGAATGAACACTGTTCCCTGTCAGTCGGTCACTCTCGATGTCACGTCAGAGGACCGACGAATTGGGATCTCGCTTAGA